TTACTGACAATTTAGTCTTCTAACTCTGCTAGTCTTCTCAGTGCAGGAACCCGGTGCTCACAAAAGAGGCCACTATGTGAATATCTAGATAAACATACATGAAGGAATTGATTTATCTACTTGATATGCCATGTAACACACTGGTATTTATGGGAGTAACAAGAGGACATTGTATGGAATTAAGCAGTCTGTGACTCCATATCCTGAAAGACAGAATGTCAAACCCACTAGCAATACTTTTTAACATGGACAGCCATCAGAAAGAAGTGGCTATGCCACACCCCACTTCTCAGGTATTGATTCAGTGTCTGTTGTGGACCCAGATATCTACCATTTTAATAAGCATGATTTAGTGTCTGTCGTGGACCCAGATATCTACCATTTTAATAAGCACTCCCTGCAAATGTGATGCAGTAATGCATGGCCCTTTCGGGGAAATGGTCTCATGGGGATGGCGTCCATTTCAGTCCTGGTCATTTAAAGGAACCCATGCAGAGTTCTGTCATCTGGGGAGTCTATGAATGCCATTGTTCCACAGTGTGCTGCTCTTGCTGCTACCTGCTCAACAGGATGTGTTCCTACAAGGCATCACAGATCCCCTGCTGGTCACACGGATGGGAAGAGAAAAGAAAATGACTGACCTGGTGAGTCTCACATGATCTTGTCACTCTTGCTCAGGTAACAGGCTGGCAAGACCACACCACACTTGGTTCTTTTCCAGGAGCTGGTTCTTCATGGAGAGTACACAGTTTTCCCCCCTGTTCTACTAGAAGGCAGAGTAAGGGGAGAGAAAGCTCATGGAGAGGGGAGGAAGGCAGTTGAGAACGCTCATGCACTCTACTGTAGTGAATATAGGGATGGAGTAGTCTGTCTGCATCCAGTCAAGTCAAAGATGTGCAGTGACATCTTCCTCTTCTTTGTTCATCTCACAGACCCTTCCTATACAGACACACACACACACACACACACACACACACACACACTCACACACACACTCATACACTGGTGGCACTGATGACTCACATACTGGACACAAGGGCTCATGTCAGCTTCTTGTCAACCTTCTGTGTGTACTCTCTACAGTCTTGTTGTTCTTCTCATAGAAGAGACCTGACATTGACAACCTTGAAAAGGAACAAACTTGGAGGATGAACATCTGACTCCCAGACTCCTTATAAACCTAGAGAAATGAAGACAGTGTGCCTGATTGGAAATGACAATGAGACAGAAAAGAAAATGAAGGGGACAGAAGAGTCACACATGTGTAGGGGACACCTTTAGCAAAGACACAAAGACACTTCAGTGAAGCAGGCATATGCTGGTCACCGAGTTTTTCTGGGACTGTTGGTGGTTATAGGAGGTACAGCCCAGCATCGTGATCAGCTGCCTAAGGATAACCCTGTTCCTTTGATGACCATGACCTTGGTAAAGCTGGATCTATGATTAGGCTGCAGAAAAGAATTTCAGGAAAAGCCAGAATGAAGCAAAGCTTGTGAGCTTATTCATGCTATGGAAGAAGCTCACATAGTATAGGGATGGGTCATGCATGAAGGCCTGAGTGAGCACTAGAGAGACATGAGATTAGGTGTCATTGCAAAGGGTGTGTGGAGATGGCAGGAGAGTGAGAAATGTGAAGATTTTTATGGCTCTCAAAGTTACATTGTTACATTGTTTTAAAATTACATACTTTGAGTCTTTGAAATGGTTCTGTTTTTCCACTAGAAAAAAAATACAATAGGTTATTAAAAAGTAAAAAATAAAAATGCTTTTTTTTGCATCTGTAATGCCTTTCAGAAGCCAAGGGGGATACATCATTTTATTTATTTATTTGTATAGGAGACTTATTTTAGAATCTACACAAAACTGTTGTAGCCTCCCCTCCATACCTACCACCTTATCTCTGGATGCATACAGTGCAGAGCCTAGTGCTGGTTGGAGACCTCCACTTGGACGTCAGCTATACAATTCATGCTGTCCTTGAACTCTTTTTTTTTAAGTAATTTTTTTTATTGAGAAAAGGAAAAAAAAAACAAGTTTCCACCTCCTCCCAGCCTCCCATTTCCCTCCCCCTCCTCCCACCCTTCTCTCCCTCCTTCCACCCTTCTCCCCCTCCCCCTATTCCTCTCCCCCGCCCTCTCCAGTCCAAAGAGCAGTCAGGGTTCCCTGCTCTGTGGAAAGTCCAAAGTCCTCCCCCCTCCGTCCATGTCTAGGAAGGTGAACATCCAAACTGGCTAGGCTCTCACAAAGCCAGCACATTACGTAGGATCAAAACCCCGTGCCATTGTCCTTGGCTTCTCATCAGCCCTCATTGTTCGCCATGTTCAGAGAGTCTGGTTTTATCCCATGCTTTTTCAGTCACAGTCCAGCTGGCCTTGGTGAGCTCCCAATAGATCAGCTCCACTGTCTCAGTGGGTGGGTGCACCCCTCATGGTCCCGACTTCTTTGCTCATGTTCTCCCTCCTTCTGCTCCTCATTGGGACCTTGGGAGCTCAGTCCAGTGCTCCAGTGTGGGTCTCTGTCTCTATCTCCATCCATCACTAGATGAAGGTTCTATGGTGATATACAAGATATTCGTCAGTATTGCTATAGGATATGTTCTTATCCCTTTTAAAATTTCTTTGAGTAAATTAAATTGTAAGGTGAATATGTGATTCTACAAACATTCTGGTCCTAAGTAAGCATAATTAATTAATTTGTTTAATGTTTTTCACAGGGAAGTTTGTGCACCACATGAGTGAGTACCTAATGCCCACAGAGGACACCAGAGTTTGAGATCTCTCAGAACTGGAGTACAGACAGTTCTGAACCATCAGGTAGGTGCTGGGTATCAACCCTGGATCCTCTGGAAGACATCCAGTGATATAAAAGAATGAACCATATCTTCGGATCCTAATTTATTTGCTGTAATTTTTAAACTTTCTTTGAGATGTCTTTAGTAATACTTGCATTATATCTGCAGGTAATTTCGACTCTATCAGTTGGGTGGAGGCTTCTTGAATGTCAGAAAAATATAAAAATGATCACAGGGTGAGGGGCTGTGTATTCCCCTCTCGTGTCACCTTCACTGCCCTGTCTTTCTGTCTTATTATGAGACAAGTGGACATCCTCATAGACAGATATAAATATAGACAAGTTGCATATCACAGGATACAAAAGTCAATCAAAATTAACAGATGATCTACACAGGACTAGAGAGACATCTCTGAGGTTAAGAGTGCCTTTGGCTATTGCAGAGGACCTGACTTCAGTTTCCAGCACCCATATGGTGGCCCACATATGCCTATAACTCCAGATCCAGGATAACTGACAGTCTTTTCTGGCCTCAGTAAGCATCTGCACTCAAACATGCATACGGCACACAAAGACGTACAGGCAGATACTCAGTAAATAGTGAAAGCAGATCTAAAAGGTAATTGATCCAAAATACAACCTAAACATGAATCTTTTAACAGAAACATTTGAATGTTCATGATCATGGATTAGGAATAAACGTCTTAGTTATAACAAACCCCCTTTCATGAAAAGAAGAACTGGACTGTTAGGACTTCCATAAAGTGAAAAATGTACACTGTGATATAAAAGATATTTTTCCTGCCTGGGAAAATGAATGTTGGAAATTGTGTATCAGATGACAGTCTTCTTGTTTGCAGAATATAGAAAGTCTCAAAAAGAGCCACTAAGAAAATAGACAATTCAGGAACTAAAACTTGGCCAGAAGGGTGAGTAGATGCTCCACTAAGCGGAACATACAGCATCAACATCCTTAACACTTAGGGAGGAGAGACAGGTAACTCTAGGGGACTCTTGACACCCCTACAAAATATTCATAAATAAAGACTTGTCATACAAAGACCTGGCAAGGTTGTGGAGGATGAAACTCTCATACCCACTGTTTGTGGTCATGGAAAACAGGACAGAGACTTGGAAAAGTATTTCTCAGTTTCTTGATATGTTAATTGTCGTCTGACCAAAGCTGTAACAACTTCCCTGATGGAGCAGTGCTGTTACTTTGAGGAAAGCTTTCCCTGAAGCAGATCTGTAAGCTGCTAAGCTTATACTGACTTTGTGGTATTCCTTGCATCTGGACGGCCAGGATCCCTTTACATTTGAGCTGAAATGTTTACACTACACATATATGTTTTTAACTGTACTTATTGTCTGGCAGTTAGACATCCCCAGCCTGCCTGATGGCATTCCACTCCAGAAGGTGCCATCCACTCACAGTCCAGCCAGAGTCCTCAAAGCCTGGGCTGGCTGGCAGACAACCATAGGCCTGCCCAGAGCTACAAGGCTTCCATTACAATGAGCAAAATGTGTGATGGAGAAACAGGAGAGAAAGAGTAGTGGGATGGTTCATGTGCTGTGAAAAGAGGAGGAATAGAAAATGTGAAGGCAGTGAGGAACAGGCTGAGGGGTGGTCTTCTTGTCATTCATGGCCATGGGGTCATCAGGACCGAGGTTGCTACCAAAGGTAATTTCTGGGTCTCCGGTCTTATTGCAGCTTGGGTCTATGTTAACATCCATGGTCCAAGCTGCCACCAAAGGGCACACAGGAGCCTGGAGTCTGTGCTCCATCCTGTGGCCTTATTGGCATCTGAGGGCTGTTCTGCCACTGGAGTGACACTGATCTGAGTGACCTGAGCTGCCAACCGGGACCATGGTTTTGGCTGGTATAAGAGGTTCTTCTGTCTATGTCTTGCTTTCATTGGTTGAATAAAGAAACTGCCTTGGCCTTTAGATAGGGCAGCACTTATATGGAGTAGACTGAACTGAATGCTGGGAAGAAGGGCTGTGTGGCAGATGCCATGAAGCTCCTGCTTGAGACTGACGCTGGTTAGAATATTTTCCGGTAAGCCATGACCTTGTGGTGTTACACAGATTGGTAGAAATGGGTTGAATTAAGATGCAAGAGTTGACCAATAGGAAATTAGAGCTAATGGGCCAGGCAGTAATTTAACTAATACAATTTCTGTGTGATTGTTTCAGGTGTAAGCTAACTGGGCAGCTGGGACCAAAAGCAGGCATTCTCTCCTTCAACAATTGGTGCTCAAGGTGGGGTACAAAGCCTCAATTTTAAGTCTGATATAATCTTTTTTGTTAAAAGCATGGATTACTCCATGATGGAAACTTTATTTGATGCATAATGCAGTTTGTTGCCATTTCCTTATCAGATTTATAGGTTTTTGACAGTCTGAAATAAATGAGAGTTTTTATAAAACTTCATGAAACTGTTTCCACATTGTAACATGTAATTTGTACTAACATAAACCTGTCTCACTCATGTTTACTCACATATATTTGACTCCAGAATGAACTCTCTTCTTCCTTCGAGGTGAGAGCTGTGTGTTTACATTGACAATTGTTAGTGTGTGTTGTGTATATGCTCATGCTTGTGCAGATATGTCCCTGGATATATATGTGTGAAAGTTAGTTAATCACTTACTGCTGTGATAGGTTATGTGTTATAATTCTCCTGGTCCTCTTCAATGATGACCTGGTGTGTAGTACACTGCTTACTTATCTCCATAGTTCTTTACTCATGTGCTGACGTATATCAGTATGGCTCAACACCCATTTTCCTAAACTGTTTTCATCTATTGCTGTTCTCTATTTCCATGCTCCATTTGTCCCAGTATTGGCCAGAGGAATCCATTTAAGATGGCATCAATGTTCATCTCGTGCCTCTGGAGAATTTCCTGGGTCTAAGCATTGCGCTCTCTGAGCCCCTGTATGGAAAGGAAGTAATGATGCCCACCTCAAAGAATAATTTTCAGGGCCTGAATGGAGAGGAAACAAAACCTGTGTATTTTTGTGGTTGGCCGATTTCCCTTGCCCCCTTTGTGCTGCCCATGGAAGGCTGTGGCATGAAAGTAGGGGCCTGAGTGCACACAGAGAGGGGGAGGTCTTGTCACGGGAATGGGAAATGCACAAGCTCACATTCCCAGTATGTGTCTGCAGTCACAGTTATCACTGTATATGCCCAGGGTGGTGAGATGACCTGGGAGGAGGAAAAACATCATTGTGTACCTTCCATTGATGTCGTCTGCACAGACACCATCATTCCATCTCCTGGGTTTTATGTGCTTTCTCATCCTGGTTTCCTCTATTTCATGAGTTTTCTTTTCCCTTCTGCTACCTTCTAGTGTAAAGCAAAGGGTTTAATCTCTGCAACCCAGAAGCAGGAGTTCATAGGGAAGAACCCAGTGTGCTGTGATGTCTGCCAGACAGGAAAGGTGAACAGACATTGGGACATCAAAGGTGAGTCAATTCCCTTACCTATCCTTATCCATTCAATATGATAACAATACCTCATCTTCTGTTCATTAGCAATCTTTTGAGGTTAAATATGATCCTGTGTGTATGAATCTCAGATGGGTAGAAGGACCAAGGCACTTTGGAGTAAGTATGTTACAGCAGCTATCCCTGATCTCCCTGGTAGGTATTAGATAGTGGTACTCAAATATAGTGAGTGCCTGTGAGATGTTATTGCAAATATAGCTCTTTCACAATCATCCCTTGTAAGAACAGAATCTACAATATATTACTCTATGTCTATAGAGGACCACATTACATCACTCCTCCTCCAACTCTATTCGGAAAGGTGAAGGCCTCCCATAGGTTTGAGGAAAGCATGGCCCTTCAAGTTGAAGCAGGACCTAGCTCCTCCCCTTGATCAATGCTGGCCAGGTAATCCAGCTAAGCATCAGGGACAGATCTTGCTCTCACTGCTAGGAGCTTTACAAAGAGACCAAGCTGCACTGGCAGAGGGCCTAGGCAGGCCCCATGCAGACTCCCTAGCTGTTGGTCCAGAGTCCATCAGCTCTCATAAGTTCAGGTCAGCTGTCTCTCTGGGTTCCCCTGCCGTGACCCCCCTGGCTCGTACAATCCCTCCTCGCTTTCTGCCACAAGACCCTCTGAAGCTCACTGCAGAGCTTGTCTGCAGATCTCTACCTCTGCTTCCCATTGGTTACTGGATAGAGTATCTCTGGTGACAACTGAGGTAGTCACCAATCTGATTACAGTAGATGGCCAGTTCAGGCACGCTCTCCACTAAGAGTCTTAGTTTGGGTCATCCTTGCACAATGATTATTGATATGGAGCATTATTTTTTGGTTTTTTTAATTAAGAATTTTTTAATTCAATATTTTCTCATTTTATATATCTATCCCCATTCCCACTCCCTCTCCTCCTCCCACTTCACCGTTCTCTCCCCACTCCCCATCCACTCCTCAGAAAAGGTAAGGCTTCCCATGGGGAATCAATGAAGTCTGATCCTTCACTTGAAGGCAAGACCAAGGCCCTCTCCCCTATATCTAGGCAGAGCAAGGTATCCCACTAAAGAGAATGTGCTCCAAGACGCCAGTTCAGTGTGTGTATTTGAACGAATCCAGGACCCTGCGTGTACGAAGCACGTGTCTTAGAATGCAATAACAATCACAGCCAGCATTTTATTGAATCTCGAGGGTTCATCTTTTAGAGATTATCTTAGGTCATGTCACATGAATATGGAGAGTTTTCTTTTCCAGGTCAAATGATTTTGATTTTGATTTTGCTTGCCCAAAGGAAGTGGCTATAACTGTCAGTACAATCCTGAATGAAAATGTCTTCTTTCTAATCTTAAAGAAAAACCTTTCAGGCTTTCCCCAACTGTGTGAATGAGCCTGGAATTTTTCACACTGGGTTTTGGAAAGATTCTATTTGTTGACCCTAACACTAAGAAATCAAGCCAAAACAATTTCCTAAGTGGTTTGTATAGTTTATGGCAATCCTTACTTCTTAATGTTTATAAACAATCTCCTAGTTTCCATCCTATCAACAATGAGCTTCTATTATATTTGCTGGAGTCCCATAAGCTAGGTCCCAAGTCAGTTTTCCACACTGTCAACCTTCATTTGCTAACTGTGGCCACTCACACCTGATTAAGTAAGAAACTTTCTGAAATATTATATTTTAGGCAAACACAAATTGCCAATCACACACAAATAAAAATAAGTCCAGGCTGTTAGGAGAGGATTTACAGGTAATCCTGTGTGCATGAAAATGAAAATACTCAATTTAAATTTGTATGTTCAACAGAGTGGGAAAGGATATTATTTTCAAATTCTCATTCTCCAGGGACTAGGGAGTTGGCTCAGTGCGTAGCAGTGCTTACTGAGCCAGCATGAGAACCTGACTATGAATCCCTAGCAACCACATAAAAAGGGCAGGCATGGCCACACATGCCTATCATCCTAGCATTGTGCAGCAGAGACGTATGAATCCTTGGAGCTTACTCAGCCAGTTTAGCTGAAGAAGCAAGCTTGTGAGAGTAGACCTTACCTTAAAGGAATAATGAAGAGAGCAATAGGAGTTAACAACCAATGTCCTTCCTTGACCGCTACACACACGCATTTGTTACCCTGTACACCTGTGTTGTTGGTTTTCCTTTTACTCTAGTTCCACATCGGGTGACACAATGTTGTTGGATGTTTTATTCTTTTCTCTTTTGGGTGGCCAGTCATTCAGCTCCCAAACAAATCCCACACACAGGAGCTTATTCTTACTTATAAATGCCCAGCCTTAGCTTGACTTATTTCTAGCTAGCTTTTCTTAACTTAAATTAACCTGTCTACCTTTTGCCTCTGGGCTCTTACCTTTGTCTATTCTTTGTATCCCTTTCTTTACCTCTTTCTCTGTGGCATACAGTGTAGCTGGGTGGCTTGTCCCTGATGTCCTCCTCCCTCGTTCTTTCATTGCTCCTTCTGTTTATACTCTCTGCCTGCCAGCCCCTCCTAGCCTTTCTCCTGCCTTGCTAGTTGGCAATCAGCTCTTTATTAGACCATCAGTTTTAGACAGGCAAAGTAACACAGCTTCACAGAGTTCAACAAATGCAGCATAAACAAAATCAACACAACTTAAACTAATATGCCTGCCCTACACTTACACCATACACTTCCCTCCCCACATGTCCATTTTACAGTACCAAATGCCCGTAATTGCTGCGAGCTTGGCAGAGTATAAGTAAGACATGACAGGTGCATACGAATACTGTGGTTACTGTGGTAAGTAAGCCTGGAGTGGGGGACTTGTGGGTGGTTCTGGACAGGCTTTGGGAAAACAAAGCCATTGGTTTCAACATGTTCTCACAACAGATGAAAACATGACCTGGAGAAATCCACATTAGTAGTTTAGAGTCAATTGAATACAGACACAAAGACACACACACACACACACAAGATAGAGGTAGACTAAGTAAGAAGTTGCTGGCTACTTTTATGTCAACTTGACACAAGGTAGTCATTTTGGAAGAGGAAACCTCAATAGAGAAAGTCTCCACCTGATTGGCTTTAAGTAGTAACTGATCCGGGGGAGCTGTGCCACCTCTGAGCCGGTGGTCCTGGGTGCTATAAGAAAGAAAGCCATGAAGAGGAAGCCAGTAAGAAGCGCCCCTCCATTGCTTCTGCTTTAATTCTTTTTTTTTTTTTTATTTTTGAGGCAGGGTTTCTCCATAGCTTTTTGGTTCCTGTCCTGAAACTAGCTCTCTCTTGTAGACCAGGCTGGCCTCGAACTCACAGAGATCCGCCTGTCTTTGCCTCCCGAATGCTGGGATTAAAGGCGTGCGCCACCACCGCCCAGCTTCTGCTTTAATTCTTGCACCCAGGTTCCTGCCCTGCTTAAATTCTTGCCCTGACTTTCCTCAATGATGGACTGTTACCTGGATATTTTAGAAAAAATAAATTATTTCCATTTCATCTTCTTTTTGGTTTTGGTATTTTATTACAGAAAAAAAAAACACTAAGACAAACACATTTTAAAAATGACTGACTCTCTTTAGAATTACAGTCAATATTTCTACTTCATAGTGACTATTAAAATAAGGACTGATAATGCTAAATTAGCATATTGAAACCCTTTATATAATGAGAAAATAACGCAATATTGACTTTTAACTTATATTTTAAAAACTAACCCGCAGCACATGTCATTTTGGGAACAGCTGCTCTCTCGCACGTAAACAACTCCCTGCACATCCAGACGGGCCCTAGAGGCAAGCACTAAAGCACTGCTCATCCACATCTCTGGAGAATGCCTCCTGGTTCTCCCAGACTATGAGGCCACAGTGCTCTTCTGGACAGCTGTTAGCAGACCACGCCCCCTTCCTGTTCCTAAGACTCTGGAGCTGCTTCCTGGCTCCTGTTGACTTTGTGCTTTTCCTCACTCCTTTGGGGCAGAGACGTGGGGTAGAGAACTGTTCTGGGCGCGACAGCCTTGACCCATGGTGAAGAAATTGACCTCTTGTTTTTCCCAAAGAGAAGAGCAAAGGGAACTCTTGCGTTCTGTCTATTTACCCCCGTTAATGCCTTTGTAAGACTTAAAATGTCAGGATGTGAGCCTCTTTCCTTCTTTCTTGACATAGTCTACCTCCCCACCACTGTGCTGACATCCATTTCCTTGGGCTTACAGGCTTCCCGCCTTGGAGACACACATTCTGACCTTTAGCCAATCATGCAAACATTAGCCAAGTGTTAGACAATAAAGAAAAAATTGTGTGTATGGGAGAGGGGCTTAAAATGGCTGTGGTTAGTTTAGCAATGGTAATTTTCTAATGTAAAATTAGAGCGGCATCTGTAATCAAAATAGCACAGCTGATGAGATTTGCTTGTTTTTATGGCAACAAGTGTAACAATGTCAATCCCTAAAATTATAGAATAAACATGCATATTGCTAATTTTCATACCTTCATTTGTAACAATGAATGTTACATCTAATTCACCAAAACTGATGGATCTAATACTTGTAAAGAAAACATCTTGAGATTAAACATGTGATTATTCCCCAGGACATAGCATGTCACCAGTGTATAAAGCAGCAATCATATATACTAAAAGAACATCAAATTAAGAATCAAATTAAGAGACTCAGTATGTCTGGGGTAGGCTCCAAACACCCACATTTAGCAAAACTGTACAGAAAACTTTTTTTTTTTTTTTTTGGATTTTTCGAGACAGGGTTTCTCCGTAGCTTTTGGTTCCTGTCCTGGAACTAGCTCTTGTAGACCATGCTGGCCTCGAACTCACAGAGATCCACCTGCCTCCGCCTCCCGAGTGCTGGGATTAAAGGCGTGCGCCACCACCGCCCGGCTTACAGAAAACTTTTTAACCGGTACAGGGTCACAGGTTTAACTGAGTGCTATTATGTAAGTAGCAGTTTTCACCATGCGCTGTGTTTCTGAATTCCATCCACACCCTATCTACCCCAGTTCTCTCATTATTACTGGTATATTACATGGCACTCTGTGTCTGTACAATGAAGTTTAGTACTGTTTTAAAACGTGGCCCAGGGCCAGTGTGTGGATAACGCATTTTTGAAAAGACCGATGATCTAATTCAATCCTTGGGACCCACATGATGGAAGGAGAGAACCTATTCCTTCATGCTCTCAATGCTTTCCTCTGACCTCCATGCACATGCTAAGGCACACATATACATACACACACGCGCACATAGAAAATACGGAGTATACAGCACTGGGGAGGCAGAGGCAGACGGATCTCTGTGAGTTCGAGGCCAGCCTGGTCTACAAGAGGTAATTCCAGGACAGGCTCTAAACCTACACAGAGCAACCCAGTCTCGAGACACCTCCAAAAACATTTTTAAAAAATAAATGAACATAAACTTACTGTATGACATAGCTATACCACTCTTGGGTACATACACAATGGACTCGAAGTCAATATACCACAGAGATACCTGCTAGTCTATGTTTACTGCTGCACTCTTGACAATAGTTAAGTGGAACCAGCGCAGAGGTCCACAAACATGAATGGATAAAGAATACATGGTAAAGGGCCTCGGTGATGGCTCAGTGAGTAAAGGCGTGTGACACCGAGCCTGACAATCTAAGATCAATCCTCAGGACCCTCAAGACGAAAGGAGAGAACAAACTTCCCACAGTCCTCTGATCTCCATACACACTCTCTATGACACAGGCATGAAAATATATGCACACATATATACAAAGGAAAGGTGAAAGCATTTGTGGGAAATGCATACAACTGGAAATTATCTTAAGTAAAATTAACATAAACTCAGAAAAGCAAATACTCGCCATTTATTCACACATGCAGGGTCTAAATTTACAAAACTGGATGTGGAGGCTGCCGTGTGTCGGGGGGTGGGGTTGTGTAATGAAAGTGGAAAGGGGACCATGGGAGGGGAATGACGGAAAAGGAGTCTTAGTGGAATACACGTGGCATGAAGTCAAACGGATGAATATTTGGGATCATGAAGGTGATGAGCAACAGAGGAGCAGGGGTGGGCGAGGGAGAAGGCAGTGGGAGAAGAGGAATTGACAGATAAGGATTAAAAGGCCATAACAAAATCCACCCTTTTCATAACTTAAAAATTCATTTAAAAAACAAAAATAGGAAGACATTGTTTTGCGTTTTAGACACCATTTTGAAATGTTCAAAGAGAGGAACGAAAGATACTCACACACAGTACAGGACATATTTAAGGTCATTTCTGTGGCAAAGAATGCTACAGTGAGGGTGGACAGTGTGTTCAATGTCACTGTTCTACCGCTGTTCCACTGTACAGAGGGGCAATATGGTGTTTAAAACCGCATCGTATATTTCTAAATAGCTAGGAGAGGATTGTTGGTGTTTTCACTAGACAGAAATGATGCATATATGATGTGTCTGATATGCCAGTCATTACCTGCTATATGCATGTACTGAAATAGCACATGGTACCTTATAATTCTGTACTTATGTGTCAAATAAAGATAAAATAAATTAGAGTTTAAAAAGAGAATTGATAGAACGAGCTGTATAATGCAAGGCATGGTTTTGCCTTCTTTGTAGTCTCTCGAGGTTCAGTAGGTTTATTTCTGATACATCCACTCCATCACAATTATGACTATGACCTATATTCTTACACCCTAAATATTGATAGCTATGAGTGTTCATTTTATTGCTGTTCTCTGTGTTTTTCTTTAGCTTGACGCATTGTCTTTTATGCATCAGTGTCTATATAGTTGAATGCTTTCTTGTTGCTTTGTGGATTTCTAGTTGTATTCATTATTGCCAAATAACCCAATTTTTGTTACCTCAGCTTCTTCAACTTCTTGTATTTGTGCATGTGTGTGACCCAGGATGATTTTTAACGAATGACACACACCTGTTTGAAGAGTGGAATTCATTGTTTGTAGACAGAATGCACTGTGCACACCCAATAGATCCACTGGGCAAGGGCGTTCAGCTCATCTGAACCTTGTTACTTTTTGTTCTCCCAATTCCGTGTGTTACTGAACAAGGAATGGTGAAGACTCCAGTTTAGCTGTGGGTTTGTCTGTTTTCCCGTCAGTCTTCTCGGCTCTGCTCCACAGCTTGTGATGTGCCCTGGCTTTATGGGCATCTGTTTTCAGAACTTTTATATCTTCTTGCTTAACGAACACAAAGATTCTTCTCCTGAGTTGTCAGGTTTAACAAATCTGAATGCATGTAGGTCATGCACTTTCACTAGCATTTCAGATAAAGAAATTATATTGCACATTTGTATAAGTATTCCCTCTGACCTGAAATTCAAATTTAGCTGGATTAAATTCAGTCTGGCAACTCTGCACCTGGAATATTCTGTGGAGTTGAGCCCAAGTGCTCTGAACAAAGTCTTAATGAGGTTTACTCAGTATCTGCCATGCCAGGGGTCACCCATGTGAGGGAGGTTTCCTGATGTCCAGGGGAGTGGAACCTCTGGGTGACGACAACACGAGTGATATACAATGCAGGGGACACAAAACACCCAGGTGAGTCCTTTGTCACTAATTGAAATCTTAGAATTTTGCTCAACACATGAATTTCTTTTTTATTTTTATGGTTTATTTAACTTTATTTTATGTGCATTGGTGTGAAGTGTCAGATCCCCTGGAACTGATTCAGGCAGTTGTGAGCTGCCATGTGGGTGCTGAGAATTGAACCCGGGTCCTCTGGAAGAGCAGTCAGTGCTCTTAACCACTGAGCCATCTCTCCAGCCCCATGAATTTCTTATTGAGTTCAAGAGAACAAATTATGTGGGAGTCCTCTTTGTGTGCTGTGATTACCATTAATGAATAAAGAAACTGCTTTGGACCTATAGCAAGGCAGAACTTGGGTAGGCAGGGAAAGCTGGGCTGAATGCTGGGAGAAAGAAGGGCAGAGTCAGAGAGAAGCAATGGAGCCACTGGAGACAGACACTGGGAACTTTAGCCACTGTCACATGGCGATATACAGAAATGGGTTAAATGAATATATAAGAGATTAGCCAATAAGAAGCTAGAGCTAATGGGCCAAGCAGTGATTTAAATAATACAGCTTCTGTGTGATTGTTTTGTGGCTAAGTGGCCAGGAACCAACGGACAGCTCTCTCCTTCTTCAACAACCAAAGAAACTTATTACCCTTAGACAAGAATGTCACTGAGTTTCTGCTTTGGGTCTGCCACCTGCCAATGGAAGCTATCACTCCAGTGTCCAGTCCAGCCGAAGATGCATAAGGATCCCATCTCACCCTTCTGGAGCTCAAAGGAAGCACATTTCTCTCTGGTAAAATAGGGAAAGGAGCAAAAGTAAAATGAGGGAACAGGAAAACTCAACAACCACATCAAGTGGAGTCGGTGGTGACTTTAGTTGAATGGAAATGTGATCTCATTGTCCCTCCCCCTAAACAAATGAGGACACCCAGTCCGCCACATGAACTTACAGAGAAAAGAAAAACATTCCAGAATTTTTCCTCCTTCTCTGTCTTGACTCCCCTTAGATGGCATAAGTCACGGTACACTGTGGATAGGTAATGAATCCAACCTGAAGATTGGGAAAATGGCCAGTTATTACCCATAATGTCACATCAGCACCACAAACTCCCAGAGGTGATGTGATGAGAAGAGCCCCTCAACTCTATGGTATTCTTTCCACACACCCTGAAGAATGGTCTAATTTCAAGAAAGACAGCTAATGAAACCTGTGCTCCTTGTGGGTATCAGGGACCCTAGAGCCTTGTAGTAATTCATCAAATGGATAAGCATGGACTGACAATGTAGCCAGCAATTCCACTTCTAAGTACACAGCCAAGAAATAGCAAGAGCTAAGTCTATATAAACA